GTGTATTTTGTTATTAGAAAGAGGTACGAGGCATCAAAGTAAGTGCTTTAATGGTTTTTATTGATATTATGATGTAGAAATTATGTTTACATTGTTATTATGATATCCCTAGTATCATGTCTAGGGTAATTTTAATATTAAATATGATTGTTACGACGCTTCCTATGTTCTTCCTAATATTTATGATTGTTAGTATCATGTTAGGGTTAAAGATTTGACTTTTATTGCTTAGTGACATGCTAGGGTTTGTTATTAATCTTGTTAGTATCATGCCTAGGAACTTGCTATTATTATGCTTTAATATTAACATGAACATGATTATGATTATTTTATTTATGATTATTATGATTATTATTTTGATGATGATTATTTTATTTATGATGATTATTATTATGATTATAATTTTATTGTCGTGATCACTATTATTTTATGATTATTATGTTGCTTGATGATATTTATTTTTATTGCTTGATCACACCTTTTATGCATGATTAAAGGGAATTTTGTACTTGTAATAACGCTTAATAAGATAATTAATAATCTTGTTTAGGGTTAATGTGATTATAATTTCAAGTGATCGCCAATAATAGTGTTATGTGACCATTAATGTTCAACCAAATAGATAAACAGGTTTAGGGTTAATTCTATTGATTGCATGTTAATCAGAAAGCGCACATGAATACGATTAGAATAAAGTAGAGGCCTATTATTAGGACAAGTTCAATCTCTTTTAGGTTGGATTTGTACCTTCATCCCCGAACCCTTATTTGGTTCTAGACCTTATGGAGTTGACGATCTCTTGGATCGTTAAGGGGTGTAACCTTCACCTCGTGAATGGTTTACAAGTTCCTAAAAAAACTTGTTGGCGACTCTTTTGCTCTATCTTCTTTCCTTTTGGACGCCACCGTACTTTAGTGTATGATCACAATGGGGTTCAAGCTAGTGGGATTAAAGCTTGAAATATTCCCTACAATAAGGTATCTCCTATATGCTATTAGTGGACTTTTTTGGCAAATTGTGGGTTAATAGGTGAATTAAGCTATTAGTGGACTAATTTTAGGCTATATATTAAAGTTTGCAAAATTAATTAATTAATACTTTGTCATTCCCTTTGATTTTTCTATTAGTGGAATAATTTTAGGTTATGATTATTAGAGTTTTTTTTTTTTTCAACAACCTAAGAAAAGTGAAAACAGAGGGCATGTTAACCCTAAAGGGTGGCTTTGTCATTCGCTTCAATTTTTCTATTGTAGTTGATCGTTTCTCTAGTGAAGCTTTTCAAATTCGATTAATGTAAAAGATCGGGAGAATGGAGATATATTGCAGAGTCTGGTGAAAATTTTTGGGTTAACTTTACTAATTGATGAAATTATCATGCTACCCTTAAATAAACAATACTTGCTTCCCTACCTTATAAAAAGTGGGAAGTTGTTCTTGTGAATAGTGTACAGACCTTTTTACCCTTCAAAATGTTTATTTACCTTCTTACCCCTTTATAATCCCTACCCATTAATGAGTTTTGCGCTTTAATTTCTATCTCCTCAATCTTTATTCACCATCCCTGAGTAGAAGAAAACCCATAAAACCAAGCTCAAGAATTGCTAGAGTTTGTAACTTTTTTTTTTTTGAGGAACCTGATAGTTCTTTTATAATTCCAACAATTTATATACTTGACTTTCCTATTTCTCCTTAATCTTAATGTCTCCTTCACCTTTAAAAAAAAGGAAAAATTGAAAAGAATAATCCCACCTTTGCTCCATCTGCTCAAAACAGGCCAACCTTTGCGTATTTTGGGAACAATCCCGCCTTTCACCCTTATTTTCTCAAAACAAGCCCTTGACCTGTTTTTTATATTGTTAACCGGTTTTAACAAGTGATATGCCACGTGTCACTAACTAATTGGCCTAATATTTTTTTAATAATTAAAAATAAAAAATAAAATTTTCCCCAACTTCAGCCCAGCCCCTGAACGACACCCATTCCAACCACTGAGCCGCCTTTGCCTGAACGACTACCACCGTCCGCAGCCCAGCCTCACCTTTCGGTCTAAAACAAGCCCGCCACCTGAACGACCACCCTCATCTTCCCCTTCCCTTGATAATTATTGTTGTTCATGGTTAATTTATTACCCAACATTTGATTTATTTTTGTTGATTGTGAAATCGGGTAGATGTGAATTTTCGTGGGTAATTGAAAAATTTGAGGATTTTATTGTTCCTTTATTGTTTAATTTAAGTTTGTAATTGAATATTTTTGGGTATTGCGTGTTAGAATTGTGGATAAAAGCTACAATCTGCCTTGCTTGCCATTAATAGGAATGATAATGTGAGGTTGGTGGAGTACGCGTCAAAGAAGGGTGGTATGCCGAATGTGAGGCGTCGCCGCGTTGGGTGGGGTTTCGGGGCCGAGGTTGTGGTTGGTGTTTTGAGGTGGAAGACAATTGTGGTGTACGTAGCGGTTGTGATGCAGTGGTGCTTGTGGGTTTAAGGGGGTGGGGTTTCGTGGGTGATAAGAGGTTGTCGTTTGTGGTGGGTTTGTGGTGAAATGGATGGAGGTAGTGTAGGTGGTGGGTCAGTGGTGTGACTTGCAGTTTTTTGGGGAAGGGGAAGCGGGGAGGTGGGGTTACGAAGGTGGGGTAGGGTGAGAGAGTGGTGACTGGTGGCCATGGTGGGGAACCAGGGAGGGAAGGGGGAGGAGAGATAAGGTGGTTTTTTGTTTTTAACTTTTTTTTTTTTATTTTATTTTTTAGAGAGAGGTTTAAAAAATAAATAAATGAATAAATTTAACCTGTTAAGCAAGTTATAGGTAAAAAGGCTTGTTTTGAGAAAATAGGGGTGAAAGGTGGGATTGTTCCCAGAATATGCAAAGGTTGGCCTGTTTTGAGCAGATGGAGCAAAGGTGAGATTATTTTTTTCAATTTTTCCTAAAAAAAAAGGTTAGTATTGTTCAATGCATTATTTCACACGGCGACTAGTAAGAATTTGAAGTAATAACTACCACCTTGGAAACCAAGCTAATGTACTTTTAGATTGCATCAACAACATCTTTTACTAGACTTCGCTTCTAAAGTGGGCTATCAAAGCCATTTCCTTTTCCTAGACTCTACTAAAACAGCTAAGCAACAACATGAATAAGTACACAGTGTTTCTTCATACAAGAACACTGCCACATACAACATATTATGCTCAATGTTTGGTTGTAATTGTTGCCTTTGAACCTTTTGTTTGTAACATTTTCAAGGTTATGGTTTAAGAATATTATGCGTTAAGTTAGATGCTTTAGTTGTTCCAATAAACCTTAAAACTATGTCCTAAATTCGTAAGGCTTTATTTATAAAAAATTAAAAAAAAAACACACTTATTTTAAAGGAAAAATTGCCCGCAATACTCCGACCTTTTGCCCGTCCACTGAAAATAATCCCACCTTTGGATTATTTTTTAATAATCCCACCTTTACTCCCCGATCTTTTTTATTGGTCCCTACAGGTTACCTTACCTATTGTAGCCGGTTTTGGGATGACGTGGCTTCCAACAGTTATAATCCTATTAATTTCCCTTTTTAAAATTGCCAGCTCCTCAATTTTCATTTCTCTTCCTTCTTCGTTCTGTTCTAAAAAAAGCTCTCCCTTTTATACTCTGAATTTCATCTTCGAATTCAATTTCTTCTCAGCTAAATCTGTCACAAATGGCTAGTAGGAGGCATAATGGTTCAAGTAGTTCTACGTCGTCAAGAAATTTTGGCTTGGTTTCCCCAAAATTGAAGTGCAGGTGTGGTTTGGAATCAATTACTCGTACGGTTAAGAATGGTGAGAACGTGTGGTTGAAGTTCCATGGATGCCCTAGATGGCCTGTAAGTTCAATGTGTTGTGCGAAATTATATGTATTTGATTAATTAAGATAAATTAAGATAATTAAATTGGGCATTTGAAACTAGGGTTTTTATTCTAATTGAATTGTGGCTTCTTTCAGTGGGTTAATGTTAACCTCGAAGATATTGATGACCTACGATTACAAGTGTTTGAAAGAGATACGCAAGTAGCTGAAAAAGAAATGGAGATTGATTTACTTAAAGAACAATTGAAGAGGTTTGAGAAGAAATTGGGAAATAAAGAGGATGAGTTGGATGACACAAAAATGGAGCTTTGCCACACTCGAATCGAACTGATGAAGGCTACAAGGAATGAAAAGAATTTTTCCCTTGCTCTGTTTGTTTCATGGATTTTCTTTGCTTTCATGATAGCGATTTTAAAGGCATGACTGTGATGTATTTAATGATTGTAGGTAGTTTAAGTAAGTTAAGTTAGTTTAGTTTGGTTAAGTAATGCTTTTTGGTCATTTGAGTCATGTATTGAGCAAAGACCTAGTATTATGAAGATATATAAATTTGTACTTTCTCATTCCTATGCACAAGGGAATTGATTAAGTTTTCATTTAAGTTTATATAACAGTATTATACAATGAGATTTAATACTTTGGGGATGATAGATGAGTATGTGCACTAAAAGTGTTGTAAGAAAACATATATATTTCCTATCATATAAACGTATTATCGTTGGATAGATTATTACAACTCCACCTATAAAATTGATGACAAATTACATTTCACACTAATTAATTAATAAAAATATCATTCAAATGTCATTAAATCTCAAAAAAGCTATACGGATGTTGTATACTTCCTCCGTTTTTTTATTATTGCACCATAGAGGTTGAGTGCAAATATTTTGGTAGTGGAAAAAAGTAAGAGAGGGAAAGGTAAAAATACAAAGAAAAATGTAAGAGAGGGAAAGGTAAAAATACAAAATTGCCCATGTGACATATTGATAAACTAAAAAGTAAGTGTGAAAAAACAAGGGTATGTTAGGTATTTGTAGTGTAAACACAAATAATTTTTTTCCTAAAAAGGAAATGGTGAAATATTTGTGAAACTTCTTAAAAAGGCAAGTGGTGCAATAATAAAATAACGGAGGAAGTATATCTAAACTAATTTCAGATAAAGATCACAATTTCTAAGATTTTGTCCAAATTGTCCACCTCTCCTTTAATATGAACACAAGACTCTCAAACATGTAAACATGGGTCGTCTACTACAATTACACATTAGTGAAATTACACCCACCACACCAAGAAACCAAAAATCAAATGAAATCAAAGGAGAAAAAGGAAAGAAACACGGGTCTAATAAATTTGCTTTTTAGAGGAAAGAAACGTAAATACGTTACCTTTTTTAGTGTAATCTGTTTTTATTTTTATGATTTTTTCCCATATTTATTATGAAACCACTATTTCCTATAAAACCTCCAACTCTTTCTCTCATTTTCACATTTTTCACCATTTTCCTACACTCCTTCCCCATTTTTAAGCTACCCTTTTTCATATAAAACCAAAATTTTTAAATATCCACAAAAAAATCCTTAATTATATTTTTTGTTGTCTTTTTTTTTTTTTTTTTCTCATAAAAGTGTCTTTTGTATATTTTGTTCTTCATAAAGATTGAATTTTTTTTCTGCCATTTTAATTTCTGAAAAAAAGTTTATCTTTTTATTTTCTGGGTATTTGTTTTTTTGAAGAAAAAAAAAATTAAAAAATTAAAGCTAAAAAAACATGAAGTTTTGCAAGACATATCAAGAGTACATGCAAAATTGGGAGAGAGAATTTCCAGGAGTTGGATTCAAAAATTTGAAGAAAATTCTGAAGAAATGTAGGCATGATATTGATTCCCACAATTCCTGTGATGATAATGGTGATTTAATTCCTTCTAATTGTCCTCATCAATGTCCTGGTAATTTCCCTTGATTTTTTTTACACTGGTATTAATTATTTAATTAATCATCAATTAATTCAATTTCTATGTTATTTCGACAATTTAGATTATTTTGACAGGGATGTGGAAAATAATTTACCTTTTTCTGGATTTTGATTGATGGGGATTTGATTTAGCTTGAGAAACAAGTTTGTAATTATGAATATAGATGAATGAAAATTAAAAGTATTGCCTTTTTTATATAATAATTAGCTGGAAATCATTAATTTATAGAAAAGATTGAATCTTTTTGCACTTTGAGTGATCATGATTTAATTATAATTCCTTTTTTTTTGTTGATTTGGCGAAATCCTCTGTATTGGTGCTTTGCAATGTGAAAAGTGTTTTTATTGTTTTCATTCTATTTCTAGACCCTTGTAAAATACGGCTTTTGTCCTTATTCTTTGGGTTCTACTTCAACAAGTGTTATTTTTTGGCGGATTTTATTTAACAGTAGTCCATTTGATATCATTGTCAGTTTTAAATTTCGTAGTCCTACTTATATTAATCATTTTGATTTGACTGTCAGTTTTTAGTTTCGTAGTCTTATTTATATTAATCATGTTAATTTTGAAAGCCGATACTTTATAACGGAACCTATAGAAACAATAAACATTAATGAACATTGAACATACTGTCAAATTCACTTATGTATTAGGGTTTAAGGTGAAAATGTATGACCAAATCACGTGTTCAATGGCATTATTCGGTGTGTTTGTTCATTATAGTAATTGTATTTTTGGTTAGGGGAATACTTGAGAAATGGAGACATATTGTTTATGGTCCTGTTTGGTAATTAGCTGCTAGCTGGTTGTATTAACTGATTTGATTATAACATACGGTTTTTGAGCTAATTCAAAGGTGTATCCAAAAAAACTTTTAAATGATGGTATTACAAATGCAAATTTGAACATATGACAATTATGTCTGTTTTTTCCCATGCCCTTGTTCAAAGTAATATTATTGCTAGATAGAGGGGAACTGGAATCTAAGATGGTTATTACGCGAGCTTTATGTGTAATTGTTGTTCGGTTTCTAATGATGAGAACTGATAATTTGTGTTTGCAGTATGCGATGGTACATTTTTTCCGTCACTTCTCAAAGAAATGTCTGATGTAGTGGGTTGTTTCAATGAGCGTGCTCGAAAGTTGCTTGACTTGCATTTAGCAACGGGTTTTAAGAAGTATTATGTATGGTGTAAAGGAAAGCAGAACCATGTATCTTTGATTCAGGAGGGGCAGGACCTTGTCACTTATGCCATGATTAATGCAATTGCAGTTCGGAAAATTTTGAAGAAATATGATAAGGTAGAATCTTGTTACTCAAGAGATTCTTTGGGATTCTTTAGAATTAATTAATTATTAAAGATTTAGTTGAGTGTATTATAAAATATGCTGATGGTATGCTTGCAATTGGATAGGTTCATTATTCTAAGCAAGGTCAAGAATTCAAATCACGCGCTCAGAGTATGCACGTTGAGATCCTCCAATCACCATGGCTTAGTGAGCTCATGGCCTTTCACATTAATTTAAGGGATAAAAAGGCAAAGGCAAGAACGGGAGCTAATTTTTTTGAGGGCTGCGCTCTTAAATTTACAGATGGAAAGCCGTCGCTGACTTGTGAGCTCTTTGATTCTGTGAAGGTGGATCTTGACTTGACTTGTTCTATTTGTTTGGTGAGTATACTTACCTTGTATATATAAATGTCTTTTCGTTCTTCATTTGCACCATGTCTAACCCTTCAACTTTATACAATCTTAGGTGTATGTCACTGAAACTAGCACACGATATGATTAGCATGCTCAAGTTGTGTTATTTTTTATAATATACTTCATATATGAGTAATTAAAATTAGTTGCTTAATTTTGTGTCTTTCAAGCAATATTAAAGTATACTATTGACTTCTTCAATCATCATTATCGTATCTGACTCATGTAAATACTCTTTTAGAACTTCAAAGGCAGATAAATACTTCCCAGGTCTGGCCTTGTGAAACAGCTGCCTTGCAACATCATGTTGAAATGTTGAATAGTTTTTCTTGTCACGAGTCATGACAGCTTGTTACTCTGTTTCCTCACCCTAGAATATTGCTTAGTTTTGCGTTACCTTATACTCCCTTCATTCTCTTGTAATTGCTCCATTTGATTTTCATGTTTGCCAATACATTTTGATTGTTAATATTGTTTACTACATATGAGTTAAAAAAATTCATAAAAGTTAATATTATATTATACTTCCCCTGCTTTTTTTAATTGCAAAATTTGTAACACTTCTCATTTCACGATTGCCATATATTATTTCAATTGCTAATATTTAAGTTACAAATATGTAAAAATTATATAATGTGATATATAAAGTATAAATTGAGACAAAGCTAACAAGATAACATGACTATTTTTCCTTACTTATGAATCATTAAAGCTGTCAAAGTGGAGTATATGAATAGCTTAAAAGTCGAAGTGTTCCAAGTAAAAAAAATTAAAAAAAACAGTAGAAGTATTATTCAAAGAGCATAACAAATAATGCTCAAAAGACACCGCTAATATATATATATATATATATATATATATAATATATATATATATATATATATATATATATATATATATATATATATATATATATATATATGGAGGATGTTCATCAATATTAGAGCTCATCAACAATTATTTTAGTTTTACTAAATAAGATAATAATTGATTAAAAAAAATTGTGTTTGCTACTTTTTTTTTTTTCCTTAATCGTATATGTTGTATGATCCTTTTATTAATGTTTAAAAGAAAGTAAGTTATAAACCAATTAAGTTAGCTAATTTTTACTTCATATTAGCTACACCTTTTTTAAGTTACCCAATTTAAATTAGTTGTCTTTTTTTCTACATTAGGTTTACTTTTTATCCTTAAAAACTACGTGTGTTAGATTGTGTACAATTGTGGCTTGTGACTTTGATCAATATGATAATTCTATCTTGTGTTTATTATAATCAACATTATCTGTATGGGCTGGAACTTCTCTAATTGTTTAGTACATAGCTGATCTTGGAAATTGACATTTTGGGTTTTCTCTTTTAATATTATACAGGATACAGTGTTTGACCCTGTTGCTCTTACCTGTGGCCATATATTCTGCTACATTTGTGCCTGCAATGCTGCATCTGTGACTATAGTTGACGGACTGCAGGTCACATCTCCAAAGGAGAAGTGTCCATTGTGCCGAGAGGTAATCATGAATGTCCTTACTAAATTATTTTACGTTATCTCGTTCAATCTTTACCTTATCATTCAGAACAATTACAAAATGCAAGCTTCTGGATCTTGGAGTTGCAACATATTTCAAGCTGTCCTATACATATAAATCTAGCTGTTATGAGACATTAAGTATTTGTTCTGACTCCAATTAATTTACATTGTCCCAAACCCCCCCCCCCTTTCACAGTAATAGTGGAATCATTTTTATCACCTCCCCATCATTTGGATTGACAATGTGGCATATTAGGAATTCTATTAAAATCAATTAATCTGTCAGAAAAGGTGACAACTCGTCAACTCTTTCAGGATTTTATATGTGACTTAATTATCAATCAAAGAGTATATGGATTTATAAGTAGAATTTAAGAGGCGTTGATAAACAGCTTGGTTGTAGTAATACAATAATACTTTTCACCCCAATTATCTGTTTTTCTTCATGTCACATTACCACTTTAGAGGGTGTAATTTAGTGGTAATTACGGGTATAAATGTTTGAGGATAGAGTTGGATTAACATGTGGTTAAGTATTGAACTTTTCCTAAGAAAGTGATTTGTCAATTATTACCAATATTTCATTACCCAAAGGGCTGTTAATTGCTTTTGAACTCTCCCAGATTCATATTTTGTGATATTTTCTTGGGGCAAAAGTCGTGCTAAATTTGTGACCAAGCTAGTATTTGTCCTTGTCAGTAGCGTTAATCACATATCCATGTTAGGGCTTTACATGAGCTCTCCATGCACAACATACAATTTGATATGAGGAATAGAATTATTTGTTTCTTCTTTCTTCTTTCTTGAGTGCACATAAGAAGGCCATAGAAGTTAGATTGGTAGACATGTAGATTTAGAGACTAGTGATTCATCCGGATATTCTCAAATTGAAAGTAGCACCTTTATTTTAGGACAAGAATAAAAAAAATAACTCACCTATATATGATAACAATTTCTATTGGTGGGTGGGGAGTATTTGTTTTCATATTCACTAATAATTTGCGATGAGGTTGGCTTTGCTTTTTTTCACTTTACATTTTTTCATCTAATTTGTTTGAACTTACATGAATTTAATGGTCCTTATAAGAACTTAATAGCATATTATTTTAGTTGCATATTGAACTTGGTGGCCCTTTAAAACTTATGTAACTTCTTTTATTGCAAAAACAATGAAGCCCTTTACATGCTTTATAGACTGATTATTGTAATTTGACATTTATTTCTTTTTTTTATTTTTTATTTATTTTATTTTATTTTTTTTAAATGGCATTGTGGAATAATAAAATAGAGGCTTTTTTCTTTTATCTACACTTGCTAGATAATTCTTTTTTTTTTTAATTTTATTTTTTTAATGACATTAGTTTATTGTTCCTTGAACTTTCAATATTATAATCTTTTGTTTCTATCAGACGGCCTCATACCACCTCCAGACATATATTCACTAGCTGCTGTGAAACGGCAACGATATGTCATCATTTGTTCCCTGTGAAAATTTTATACATAGAACAACTCACTTGGATGTTTACTTAACTCATTTGCCATTAATTTCAGGCTGGGGTCTACGAGGGCGCTCTGCACTTGGAGGAGCTTAATATATTATTGAGCCGAAGGTAATTTCCATTATTGATATAATATGCTATTTTTCCTAATTACCCCCCCCCCCCCCCCGCCCAACCTTTTTATCTCTTTGAGGCTCCACCCCAAATGAGACTGAAAAAATAATATGATCATGAATCCTTTATTTATCTTTTTAATTACCCCCCCCCCCTTTTTATTCATCTTGCAATCACTAACATATTGCGAGTCTTTTATTTATCACTTGTGTATAGGTGCCATGAGTACTGGGAAGAGAGACTTCAGTCGGAAAGGTTGGAGAGGATAAAGCAAGCTAAAGAACACTGGGAATTTCAGTGCCGAGCTTTCATGGGTGTTTGAACTAAATTGCAGGTGCTGATTCCATCAGCCTTGTTAGGTGATCGACCTTTTGGATTTAGCTATTTGGATTTGCTTTAATTTGATTGTTGAAAGCCTTGGGCCTTTACCCTGGTGCATAATAGCTTTGTCTGTAAAATAAAAACTTTTTAACCAATAAGATACTTGATTGAGTGATCGGACAGCAATCCTTGGTTGGACTGTAGAGTGTTTTAGGCAACCTCCATTTTAAGGTATTCAGAAAAGAATCCATTTCTCTGGTTGGATTTTTGAGTGCTTTGGGAATGTTGAGTGGATCAGAAGCGTGTAAACTTAGACCCGATAAGAAATAGCATGGGCTGGGACTATGAATGATTATTCTTTTTATTCCTTGAAGTGAATTTGAATGTAAGTGTGAGGCAGTGAGTATAACTCATTTCAATTAGAGGTGATAGCGAGTCTTGCTAGGAGCTGGAGTTTGGAGTAGTTTGGTTGGTTGGCACAAACTTAGACTCGATCTCAAGCTAAGTTCGAGCTTGTCAAGCTCATATATTCAGGTTTGGCTCAATTCATGTACCTTGTTCTGAAGATAGACAAATCAGAAAATGTCGGCCAGCTTAGACCATGTAATACCTCTTACTGAGTGATTCAAATACTTACTGGGGAAGTTTCTTTCGGTCATGGATGATTTGGTGAGCTAGTCCTAAATGATGATTATTTATTGACTTATGAAATGTCGAAGAAGAAGAAACCTAGCATGTTATTAACAATCTTTGATGTAGACCTAAATAAAGCCTATGAGCTTTGTTAAAATTTATCTTAGAGCAGCAGGGTTTAAACATTCGGATGCAGTAATGCAGTTGGAAGGCTTTCTGTGGAACATGCTATGTATATTGCGTCATGGTTCTCATTACTGGATAGGCTTCACGGCTCTTCAACAGGATTCCATTTCTGGTTCAGGTGGTCTCAAAAAGTAATCATTAGGAATCACAGGCCATCCACATAGAAGATACGGAGTACCAATTTACTAAAAGGGAAAGGAGCTTCTGGAAACTCGTAAGGAGGGAGGAATAGGTCCGAGGAACTTAAAGAATACGAATATGGTCATGAGTTTCAAAGATGCGTGAAGATGCTTATAAATCTTTCTCTGTGAAGTATGCATGGGATGAGCAACTGTGATAGGTAGAATGTGTCGACAGTGTAAAGGGGTTGAAGAAAAGAACTGAAAATGCTTGATCTTCTAAGGTGACCAAATATATACCCTAGGGCGAGAACCTAGGGTATATTTGAGTCATTGGGAGGTAATTCAGATTGCAGGTTGAAAAATATACGACTAAAAGTTAACTGCGGTTGAAGAGGAAATGCATGTCAAAGACACCGGTGTATGAAAATGCTCAGAACGATGATAGTCATAGAAGTAGAAAGTTGCATGTTGTGTTTTATTGAAGGGTACTTGAACCTAAGGGAAAACGAAATAGACTACATTATATGCTTCCTCGACATTTCAAGCTGAAGCGTATGCAGTCAGCATGTTTATATGATGATAGCAGTATAGCACAGATGGAGGCGCTATGTTCGTAGGATGATAGCATTGAAGTAGGCTAATATTGAGCCATGGTTATATTCAAATGATATCAAAAGAATAGCAAATAAGGACATTAGAAGAAACTAATTTAGAGTATTCCAATCCTCGACGAGCTTTATTATTCGTCCTTAGGTGTCTATTCAGTTTCTCATTCCTCCACATCACTTTTGCTCGTCTTTTATTTTCAAGATCCATCCAATTTTTGAGGAAAAACTAAATTTTCTCACCACTTCATCTCATACATTTGACATACCTACTTACCATATTTCTTTTTCTATTCACTTTTCCCCTTTATCTTTTTTATTGTGTCATTTGAAATGTTTTTTTTTTTTTTTTTAATACTCATTTGGAACTTTAGGAATTCTATGTCCTCTCAAATCATCCATAATATAAGGAAAAAATATGATTATATGAGATTTTGTTTGATTCAACTCAATGTATACATTTTTAAAAAATTAAATTCTAATATTTTTTTATACTCCGTAATACATATATGAGAATATCAATGTTTGATTATGTATTAAAAGGGGAAACATGTGATTTACAAGCTTATATGCTGTCCAAAATAAAGTTATTTACAATGTTATCAGTGGCACTTCCCAAGAGGGATGATGATAGGACAACTCTAATGTATGATTGGAATCATCCATCACCCCTTTTAGTGTAAAATAGCTTTTGACCCGGGTAATACCTTGGGTCATTATATTTATATTATAAATGAGGTTTTATAATTAAAAATCATGTGATAAAATGCAAACATAGATTAAATTAGTTACTTTTGTTGTAAATAAAGGAGCAGTCTAGTATAAATTATATGTGTATTATAAATGAGGTTTTATAATTAAAAATTATGTAATAAAATATAAATATAGATTAAATTAGTTACATTTGTTGTAAATAAAAGAGTAGCCTAGTACAAATAGTATAAAAATATTTAAGTAAGATCAAAAAGATAATCTCACAAACGATGGAACAATGTCGGTGTCTCGTGATACAATTCATTGACTTGAAAACGAATTTCCGGCGCAATCAAGGTGCTCAATTGCATTCGTCAACACGTTCCCTAAGTTTAACCTACCACTTCCACACAAAGACACTTTTGGGGGGAAGGTTTGAGTCAAGTAACTCATGCTCAATAAAGAATAATGTGTATACACTATTGTATGGATGTATTTTTAAAGTGTAAAAATTAGAAAAAAAACTTCTTCTATTTATAAAGAAACATGAAAGAACATAGAAGAAGAATCCCAAGCATCAAAGGAGTTAGGGAGGTGAATATCCACCTTAAACATCCTCTTAAATGGAGGGTTATGAGAGTTACTTATCAAGAGAATAATTGTGGTAACTAATCATCTTAAACATCCTCATAAATTGGGGGTCATAAGTTTGAATATTGATGCTAACAATTCTTTATTTTTGTAATGAATTATAGTAATTGTATGACATGGCGCCACATCATCTGCCTAATCATGATGACACGTGGCAGGCTCATGTTTTCTCATTGAGTTTTAATATATACTAGTTTTGTGCCCCGTGCGATGCCCGACTTGTTTATGAAGTCTATTTAAATTTATCCAACGTGGCGTGACACTCAAATTTTATTTTATCGAAAATAAAACTCTAAACTAACAATTATATCCTAAAATTCTATCCAAATTTGATTCAAAATAGAATTCTAAATAACTTTTGTATCTTATGAAGTCTATTTGAACCTATCCAACGTGGCACGACACTTGACGAAAAGTTAGAATGCCAAGTGTCGCTGCCTCGTGACCTGTCTAAAAGTTTAGCTTTATATATTAGTTATATGATATATACAATTACTATATACGAAGTATATATCAAGGACGATGGCTATGTCCTCTCACCATTTTCTCTTCTTACTCCATTTTGACACTTTATACTTTTTTTCATCCACCTCATTTTCCACTATCTCTTTCCTCTCTTTCATCCTCTTCCATTTATTTTTCCCACATCAAAGGGTATCCTCTTGATATCAGAGGCGAATCTATTAAGGTCTTTGTAACACCCTAGAAATTCTTTTCTTTTAAAATACCTGTTTTGCCCTGTTTAAAAATTTAAATAGGAATATCTAAGATATTACCGCCACCGTGAAAACGGCTAAGGCAACCATCAAAGACACACAGCGGAAGACTAATTTTAAATCCATTCAAAACAAGTCAACTTGAAAAGTCAACCAACGAAAGTAAAGTCAAAATTAAAGTCAAACGAAGTAAAATAAAACCATCCTACAACTTGGAACCATTGTAGGCCCTTATTAAAACCAAACCGACTTTAAAACTTTTGCGTTAGTCATGCATGATAATAATATCATAAATAATTAAAGCGTTAAACACATCATATACTTATAGAAACTAGCATGATTCGCTCTTCACCCATGCCCATTCATGAATATGATTCATCACCTGAAAACCTCCTCTCTACTTGTCCCCACTACTCGCCATTAGAAAATGGGTCGTCGTAGGGCCAAAGTAAAGACATGGCCAAACACACATAATCAGCAAAGTTGAGTACATAAGCGTAATTAAACACGCTAATATGCTTTCACCTATCAACACACACTTACCTCATTGCACCTGTTCACAAGCACACACACCAATCAACAAGACACAATGACTAGACACTAATTAATTCATTTAGCGTTGATTACGCATCGAACGGGTTTCCTCCTCCTAACCTCCCCCAAATAAATTGAGGTTAACTGACACGGGAGCTAACCGTGCCAGCGACAAAACCACTCAAAGATGGCGGAATTCCTGCGCATAATAATGAATAAAAAGGAATGTACAGCGTCCTGTACTCCATTAGAAGTTATGGTTAAATATAAAACCCCATAACTCCCCCCATTGTTCATACTCAAGGTATATACGTTCCAAGAGTTTTGGTGCGTAATCTCTTTCACTTTACGTTATTTACCTTTTATTGGACTTGGTGATGACTCTCAAAGCATCAGAACACAATCAACAATAATTATTCAATCAACCAAACATACCAAATTAATTCTTGACCACTTAGTGACCACATATTATTTAATGTTGAACCCTTTTTAATTCTACCTCAGTGTCAAAGACACCTTAAACGCATAATGCGCCAAAAATCCTATCCCTCGGTGTTAAAAACACCTTAAGTGCACAAAGGCACCAACATACAATTTATTCCTTGTGTACATAGACACTTATATAGCTCCTTCCTCATACTTAAAGCATCAATAAAAATTATTTGAACCATAATAAAATTCCTTTTCAATATTCCAAACATAATTAAACATGTAGTTTAAGCCTTCTAACATGCCATAAATAAAAATGTGGTTCAAACACAACATGCCCAAAATATAATTTTCCAATCCACAACCATCACAAATAATTCATGCTTCACAATTCAATCACAAACACCATAAATTCACAATTCCATACATAAACCTTAGCATGATACTACTTGTAATTGATTGAAATCCAACCTAGCATGTTTCTACATCATCAAAATATGCTAAGTACGCGTACGTACCTCAAATAAGCCCTTAAAGTAGCCGATTACACTACAACAATTCCCGAATTAAGTCTCCTACATAAAGGGACAATAATACTATATTAATTCTCCTTGTATACACAATTTTCAGCAACTTAAACTCACTTTAAATAACTTATAATAACCTAAAAATTATTTAAAAACCCCTAATTAA